ACCAATTTAATTCTTGAATAATTAGTGACCACATAAATTAAATGTTGAATCCTTTTAAACTACCTCGGTGTTAAATAACACCTTAAGCGCATAAAGAACCACAAATCCTATCCCTCGGTGTTTAAACCACCTTAAGTGCACTTAGGCACCAAAATATAATTTAATCCTCGTGTACATAGACACTTAAATAGCTCCTTCCTCATGCTTATAGCATCAATAAAAATTATATGAACCATAATAAAAATTCTTTTTCATATTCCAAACTAAATTAAACATTTAGTTTAATTAAACATGCTCTCTATCATGCCAATAAAAAAAGTGTGGTTCATAATCAACTTGCCAACGTAATTAATTTCAATCACCAATTCATCATAAATAATTTATACATCAAAAAGCATTTACCAACATCAATCCAATCAATAAATTTTCAACCAACACCTGTCATGATACTACTTGGAATTAATTTGTCAAAACCCAGCATGCTTCTACATATTCAAATAATTACCAATTACGCGAACGTACCTTGAATATGATCTCAAAATCGCCACGACTAAATAAAGTCACTCCCTTGGAAACCTCCCACAAACCAAAATTACAAAGAGGCATTAATACCTATTCCACACAAATTTCCAGCAATATATGCACTCTTTAAATCACTTATAAACCCTCTAAAACAAGCTAAAATTTAATTTAAAACCCTTACTTTTATTCCCATTAATGGGTAATTAGAAATCCTTTCAAGAAACATAATTATGGCTTATATATAAAAATTCCAGCTTTATTAGATCATCTAAAATTGCTGTAATTGTGTTTTAAAACATTTATTTCAATAATTTAAATCACCCATAAATAATTTCCATCAATATACATAAACTTAGAAACCTAGGGTTTATAATTTGGGGCTTTTTAATTCAAAACCAAATCTGAAAATTTATATACATCATACTTAAAATCAAACATCATAAAATCCATCACATAACCCAAGAACAATAATTAGATCAAGGCTAGATTAGGATTAAAACCAAAAAGAATAATTTTTTTTTGTTCGTACACCAAAAGCCACGACACACGGCTAGGCCCCCTACTTTCGCGCCCGCCGGTGTCGCCGCTGCTGCTGGCGTGTTCGCTGGTGGCTACAGTGACCGGCCGGTGGTGTGTGGTGGTAGCCGGCGGTGGTGTGTGTGGGTGGTGATGAAACAAAATAAAAATAAAGGGGAAGGGGAAAAGAACATAAGAGGAGAGTAGAGAGTTTATTTTTGGGTATTCTCCACCTTGGGTAAAGTTTTATTTTGCTCTTGTGATGGGTATTTATGCCTTCTCTCAATTACCCTCCTATTTAAAATTCTTTTGCCACCCTTAATGATCTTTCCCCTATTCAAACTAGTATTTTGACTTTCCTTAAATACCATTGACTTTAAAATTTACCTTTTATAAAATAATATGCCCTAAAGTTTCCAAATCATGAAATAAAATATTTTCAAGATTGTTAAATAATTAAAAATAAACTTTTAATTAAAATAATTCTTTTTAAATTAATGAAACACCATAAATAATTCATTTCGAATTATTTAAATACTTTAAGAAATACTTATTTAAGTTAAAATACATATAAAAATGCGGGGTATTACATTCTCTCTCTAGAAATTTGATATACCTCACATCCACCATAGAATAAGAACATAAACACTAAAATTACCCTAGTACTCTGTCTCGCATGTTCCATAAGCACATCACTACGACCCTTTGCCTTCCGCATCAACAGAAGATCTACAATCCTCTTACAAACAATACAACTTTAAATTTAAATTGCCAAATATTTAACAAGGATATGCAAATTTAAATAGCCAAGAGGAAGATGCCATCAAGGCTTATTTGATCATCATCAACTTATTTGTTATTAGAATTAACTTTCCAAATATTTCAATTGTAAAAAATAAACATTGAAGGAATTTATTATTTCCACTAAGAACAGTAAGGGCAATATAAAATTGTTTTTGAGAGATACATGGAAATTTTTTAATGGGACAACACATGAAAACTTAGTTATATTTAGATACCAAATCATGTTTCCACAAAATATTTGATGAGTATGTACAACCCATCTAATTTTGGTTTGAATTTGAAGATGGACTTAAGAAATGTTAATGAACCTTTAAAATTTAACCCAAATGATTTAAAATCTATATCAAAGTTCATTCCAAGCCTGTATAATCCATAAGACCGAGTCCTAACCAATTTTCTTTTACTCAATTTCATTACATTAGCTACAAACTAGGCTTATTTTATTCACAAATTTTTTTTATTTTTTCTATGCAATAAATTTGAATGGACATCTCTTGAAAAACACTTTAAAATGATACAGCATAAAGCCCTATTTGAATTTAAATAAAATATAATATCATATTGTATCATATCACTAATAAATGAAGCTGGATCTCGCAGCCATTCCACGAGACAATGACACTTGACATTCCAGTTTTTTGCCAAGTGTCGCGCCATAAAGGCGACAAATAGGTATTATTGTGACACATATGATGATAAGTAAGCGAATTTTGGATAGATTTTTAAAGATAAAATTGTCGTATAAAGTTTTATTATCAATATACTTAGCTTCTTATATTTTATATATGCAAAATTAATCATAACTTTTAATAAATATCCTATAACTCAATTATATTTCCATCATAAAATTCTTTTTAAAAAGTTCTATAAATAAGATCCATTTATAATATATTTAATTTATTTACAATGATAATAGAGAATTAGTAGAAATAAGTTTTAATCAGTAAAAATAATTTAGTTCAGTAAAAATAATTTAAGTTCAAAGAAAATAATTTCAATTCAATATTAACATGGATATCTATTTATTTAACAAAAATACAAAAAGTATATTATTATACTCCCTCCGTTTTTTTATAAGCTAGAGTTGGAATTTTACACTATTCAAATTTCATCATTAACTTAATTTTTTTACCAATATATAATATATAAATATGATCATGTAATATGTTGTTGGATTTATCATAATGTCTACTTTTATAAATTAATTTTTTCATAATTTTAACTAATCTCTAATTAAAGATCTCGATGGTCAAAGTTGTGTCTTGGCAAATGTGCAAATCCAACATTAGCTTATAAAAAAATAGAGGGAGTATAAATTAGCGGTATGATATCGTATGTCTAAATATATTGCATTATCAAAAGGAATTATATGATCGTATTTAACATTCAAGCTAAAAAATTTATCCGAAAATTTTATTAACAACCTGGGCATCGCCTGGGCACAAAACTGGTATATATATAAAGGGGAGTTTTTCCCGAGTTTTTAAAGAACCACTTAAGATTAAATTTTCTTAACACGCATGTAAGATTATAAATTTTAGTTATAGCTAATTAAATAAGAGATTTGTAATTTCTTTTAGAATTAAATAATTCAAATGCCACATAAACAAAATTGGCAAATGAGTTTTAAAATTTAAATTAATTAAATATAAAATAATATCTTTTGAGATCAGGAATTTTATTTAAGGCGCCATGTAGAATTATTACCTCCGCTTCTTATCATTTGCAACAAAGAGGAGTTTTGCGGACTCCTAGGCAAAAATCTTAAGCATAGTTATTGAAAAATAAGGGCATATACTAAGTATTAATCCAACCCCCCCCCCCCCCCAAAAAAAACAAATTTACAAAAATTAAACTAAAAACCCACCACCACAACACTGAAACCACCCACCACTAACGGCACCAAAACCACTCACCACCACCACTAGAAGCACCGAAACCCCCTACCACTCAGCCGCATAAAACACCAAACCAACCACCACCACCCACCACCAAGCACAAAACACCAAACCAACCACCACCAACTGCACAAAACACCGAACAAATCCACAAACCCACCAACCCACGAAAACCCACGGATTTGGAAACCCCTTGAACCCACTAACCCACGAAAACCCTTGAACCTACAAAACCTTGAACCAACGAACCCACAAACCCATCAACCTAGCGAACCCACTAACCCAACAAATCGAGCGAACCCATAAACCCACGAAAACCCAAAGATCTAGAAAACCATGAGAATGGGATTGGAGGAGGAGAGAAAAATAATGAGGATGAGGAAGAAGATGAAGAAATTTAATGATGAAGGAAGAGAGAAAAATAACAGGGATGAGGAAAAAGATGAAGATATTTAATGATGAAGGTTGTTGGGATGATGATGAATTTAGATGGAAGGGGAATGATTTTGGTAGAAATGGTTAAGTTAATCAATATTAGGGTTTAAGTTAATAAGATAAAATCAGTAGTTTAATTAGGGTGTTTTAAAAAAAGTAAGGTAATTTTGTAAAATCACACAAAAAAAAACTTACTAAAAAAGAAAGCAATCACTTTGTTGCGAGTAATGTGAAGCAACCATTTTTGGTAAGTATTGCGAGTAATGCGAAACATAGGTAGTATGTAAACAAAATTATCGAATGAGATTTTAAAATTTAAATTAATTAAATATAAAATAATATCTTTTGAGATTATGAATTTTATCTAAATATACAACGAATAAAATAACAAATTTTATCACATAAAAATAACAAATATTTATTTCAAAAAATACAAACAAATCGTGTATCGCACGAGTTTCATCTAGTATATATATATATATATATATATATATATATATATATATATATATATATATATATATATATATATATATATATAAAAGAGAATTTCTAAAGCAGACTCAAAACAGACACCTCATGAACAAGCCATCGTTAAACGTAGGTTTCCTAGCGAATGAAGCTGAAATTCTTCAATAAAACAATTTATTCCACCCTATTTCCCCCACAAATAATATGCCCTTTTTGCCCAATTATCAACAATATTGAACCAATCTGATTGCTATGTCTAGGCATATACTGACCCTCTGGCCTCTATTTAACAGCTTTTCATGTCCACACCCATTATTGATCAATGGAAACAAAAGGCAAGCATAAGGCAGAAACAATCAGGAAAAGCACATTTTTTAGCTGGCTATTGATGAATGCTAATTAGTAGTAATGCACTCCTAACCAGGAATAATTAACGTTAACATATACCTTCTGATTTCTACTAACAGAATATACATTTGAGCCGCGATGAAAAAAAAAAATCTCAGCAGAGGTCAGCAGTGAACATATATGAAATCTCCTAATGACTGCACATGCTGGCAGTTGCTATATGCTAATTGCATTTACACAGCTAATTTCTCCAGGCAATCCAGCTGCTAAACCATGCTTCTACTGACTGCCAAGACACAGGATGCATGCCATGCTTGCAATCAGGCTAGGTCCACAAGTCTTTCCCTACTGAGGCTTAAGGAACGCACTTTCTCCAAGATTACACAGCTTGATATTGCTTCTTTTGTGCTCAGCTCCTTGTGATTGCCCAGATTCTACATTGATAATGTATATGCTGCAGAGTGCTGGTTTCTTAACATGTACAGGTTTCATTGAACTCAATCCACGATCATTAAATCAATACTGTGAAAGCAGCTTCTGCGACCAAAAAAAGGCACCTTTTCTCATGGGAATAATTGTTAAAGGATGCCCAACTCTGGACATGATGTTATATTATGCCATATCAAGTCAAATGCAAATGATATTTCTCAAAGATCAGAAGAAATAGTATCCTCCGAGTCGGTTTTCAACTAAACAAACACAGCAAAAAAAAAAAAAAAAAAAAAAAACAAAAAAAAAAAAAAAAAAACACAAGATATTAATACACTAGAAAAGCAACTAGACCAGTAAAATCAGTGGGAATGAAATAATAAGCATACCAGTATGAGATGGCTCCGTAAGGCTCCATGCAAAAGAACTTTTAATTTTTCACACTTATCAGTCATGTGACCTACACGTATTGACTCTTCAAGGTGACACCACAGGCGTTCAATTGCTGTGTAAGGGAACCAAGTTGCAAAGGGTCTTTTCCTATATACTATGCCAGCTGGTCGCTGCAGTTAAAAATAGAATTCTTCAGCATGAGTATAAACCTTTAAGTATATACAACAGACCACGTGTTCGGGAAAAGGAGCAGAAATGGAAGAAGGAAATCTATGAACCAATCAAATAGCACAAAGTAGGGCATGAAATATCATCATATCAGAGGCCCAAAGATTGTTGGTAGTTGGCATAAGCTGCATAAAAATGGAGTATTTGTCCGACATTCTAATTTGATATTCAAGCCCTTGCAAGCAAAACATTACATATAACACCAGACATTTTACCCAAACTCAACGGTTATTTAGAATACGTGAATTTACCAAACACTTCAATAAGTTTGGACCATGCTTAATATAATTCTCTATCCAATAAAAATATTACTATAGAGCATTTTATTATTTTACAAGCACCACAGTAAGAGAGAATTTCCCTACTGTATCCCCTTGGACCCCACCATTAACCCCAAACCAGAACATTAATTAAGAAGGCAAAGCAAGAACACACTCTTATTTACTTCATCTAATAGCAAAAGCCAAGACCTTTACACTCCATTGCCTTGTCCGAGTTTGGTCCGGGCATTACTAGACCCTACCCATTGCCATTTCTATACATGAGTCAACAATCTCATAGCCTATTTACAGGATGTAAGTGGTGTAATCTGAATAGACCATTGTCCCTTATTCGTAGTTGCCTTCGGTATGTCACTTAATCACTAGATCCATAAACAGTTTATAAGTTTTCATAGCTAATTGGTGACTCCTTACGATCCCTAAATTTAGCCCCATTCGATCTAAGTTAAATCAAATACCATACGGCATATGCCATTTACGATCACACGTGTCACATTCTGTATAAATAATCCAACCTCAACACTTAACTATCTCAGTTAAGCACCATATTTCCTATCACCAACACCAATACCCCTAATAGCCTCATTTTAATTCTCATGGAAGCATTGTTATGCCACTGTAGGTACCAGATAGCTCACACCACACACCAAGCAGTTAGGATATGTTTATATTATCTAGAAACAATGCAACAATGGATTATCATGCCTGAAGCTTATAATTTAGTCAACGCAATTATAAAGCAATAAGGCCAATAACCAGTAATATTCAGCTTCGAAAAAATCTTTGAAAAGAATGCAATTGTTTCCTAACAGGATGTATTTAGTACTCCCTTTGATCCTATATGTTCTTCCTATTTTGACTATGCACATTTTGACAATGCATTACTTTGACAAACTAAGTGATCAACTATATATTTAAGCTAAACTTCATGGTAATTGTTGGCTTCCACTACAAAACACTAATTATCACTAAATTTCACAAATTTTAGTTGTGATGATAAGAAGTATCTCAGAAGACAGTCATGTCCGTCGTGTGTATCCCTATATCTACAGAATACTTTAAAAGGATAATTGAAAAGTAATCAATCAAAATCAACCCAATGTCCCAACTAAAAATCTTGCTTAGGGAAAGGGAAGGTCAAATACTCAAATGCTCAGTCAAACTTCCTATCAGAGAGAGTTTATTTCCATTACTGTTTATTTAAATGAATACAATTAGCTACTATGCCATTGCAAAACATGTTTCTTTCCTAATGTGCACATAATTTAGAAATTTGCAATTTCACGTTGGTTTTAGAATTTAAAAAAATAATATCATATGCTATCACCAATGTTACTCGGGTATTGGCGTCAGACCAACTCAACAATTTAACTAAATAGCATTGATAATTTCATTGACAAGAAATTATAAAACAAATACTTCTTCTGATTGAGCTTCAAGTTAAGCTCTCCTCTTATAGATATACTTCTTCTGTTTCTTTTTATTTACAACACTTCACATTTCACGTTGCCAATGGATTACTTCAATCGCATATATCTTTAATTACCAATGTGTAAAAAATATTATAAAAAATTGTGTATTATGAAAGCATAAATAGACTTGGCAATCGTGTTGTGTCGTGTTCGTTTTCGTGTTGGAAATTAAACGGGTTGGGAAAGGTCAACACTAACCCGACTCATTTAATAAACGTGTCGTGTGGTATTGACCCAATTAATTAATCGTGTCGAAAACCCTTAACACTAACCCGCTTTTTTCGAGCGAAAAATATTGGTCTTATTCAATATATTTATCAATAATTCCATAAATTATTGGGTTTTTATATTAGGCGGGTTGGGTCGTGTTAATTTCGTGTTGAGAATTTCAACACTAACCCAACCTGTTTAATTAAACGTATTGTGTCGTGTTGACCCGTTTAATTAAACATGTTGAAAACCCTGGACACTAACCCGTTTTTTTCGTGTTCGATTCGTGTCGTGTTGTCGTGTCGTGTTGTCGTGTCGTGTCAGTTTTTGTGAGCTCTAAGCATAAACTGAGACGGATTTAATAAGATCCCATATGTCTGTTTTTCTTAAGGTAAGAACAAAACAATAATAAAAATGTTTGAAGATAGACAACTGAATAAAGGCATAGAAAGCACATGATGACACAAAAACTTCAAATGCAATCAGGATCTAAGCACGTAAACATGCCTAACAAGAAGAAAACCTACCACTAAAGCATAGGCCTCTATGTATTCAATCAAAAGTTCTGTGGCCTCCGGATATCGTCCATAATCAACATATAACCTGAAAAGAGTTGCAGGATTTGATTCTTGGCCAGTCATGCCCCTACTTTCCCTACGTGCACCCTGCATAAATTCAATGACGATTACACATCAGAGTATGATCTTCCATTTGGATAGAAGCTCATCTCTTCATAACCAGCAACTTGACTTCCATCTCGGCATAACATGGGGAAACACTCACCATATCTTTTCATATTCAGAATCAACATTTTTAATATAATTTAGTAGCTTGCTACCACCCTCAATATATCTCTGTAGCTGATTTTGTCAGCTTGAAAGAAAACTTTGCATATAGGTAATTTTCCAGTCCCTAGTTCCCTCAAAATGACAAGTGAAGAATTGTTTAAGAAGAGATCCTCTTTACAATTTTACATCAAGAGGCAGGGGAAGGATAACCCCGGGTATTGGTTGGTGGTGGTGGGAGGAGGAAGACTAGAATCCAAAAAACTTTAGTTTATACGCAATATAAAGCATCCTCTAAATGATTCAGTGGTATAGCAAGACATAAAGGGTAATATAAAGGACCAGCAGTTAACTATTTTCCTGCTCCCTGAAGGCAGGGGAGTGGGTCTAGAAAAAGTGCATACACTGACTTCTAATGAAAAATTAATCAAATGATAAAAGAAATATAAGACTTTCAGATTAAAACTTATCAAAAGTCTGAAAGTCAAACTGTATAGTGTATTTGGTGGCCTGTAAGATTACCTTGAACATGTTAACTAACCAAAGAGGCAGTTCAATCTGAGAATCAGAGCGGAGGATAGTTTCTGCAACTACTACAGGTAGTCTTCCATGAAATTCTTTGTATTTCTCCTGTAAAACCCCACCAAAAAAGAAGAATAAGAAATGTATTGTAAGTAATATTGTAAGGCTAGCATCACTATTTCCATAAGCTAAGATTTTGTCCCAAATACTTAACTGAATGTAAGAAGACTGTAAGAAGTATGATAATAACTTAAAGATATCCTGTGTGTATAATAACAATATGCACCATTATTTTTTCATACTAAAATTAGTTTGATTTTAAGTGCAAAACAAAATAGTATTTACAATCACTAATCGTATTATACATTGATCGACCACATCAAACCCAATTAAGGAGTAATTTATCGTTACCTGAATCAGTTGTTTAATCTACAGCTGCAACTGTTTAAATGTATGTAGTTACTACCTCCGCTCTTGTTTGTTTGTTACGTTTTCTACTTTAGTATGTTCTTTTTAAATGGTAACGCTCTTTCTTTTTTCGTACATGAATCTCATTTACAATGCTCCCTTCCTAGCTTATTCTTATATAAACCTACTAACAAACCCTCTCTCCTGTTTTTACTTACAAATGCCCTGCTTTCTACTCTCTTTTTCACTCTCACTGGTTTATGTTGCTACTCTAACCATCAATTAGGAACAAAGGTCGTACAGTATACTAGAGAGGTTGGATTTGAAGTATACTAATTAGCATTTCTGATTAGTATCTATTTAAACTTAACTGCCATGCAGAACATAAATTGATAATTACCAGGAAGCAATAATCAACACAGAGTGACAGGAGAAGAGCTGCGTTATTGACTTATGCGTAACACAGAAAAGTTGAGGATGAACAAGTTAACAACATTTTGCAAGGGAATAGAAACTCTATTTGGCAATATATATTCATCTGACTAAAATCACTCAATTGGCATACTCAGGTACTGCGAATTTTAGTTATTTTCCCTTGGTATCTTTATCTCTATTACTTGCTAGGGAAAAAATTTAGCCCCGACAAAAATTCAAAATCTTATTAGCCCACTGACAGCTATATTATCTTCATTAAAAACAGGGCCTTCATTCACCAAATAGACAAAGTCAAAACAAAACTTCCACATACAAACTCATAGCAATCGCATACATCATACACATGAGAAGCATCCAATAGCTAACCTTAGTTTTAAAGGGCACAAGGCGCACCAAGGCGCAAAAGTCTTTGGAGCCTAGGTCACTAGGTGCATAGCACAAGGCGCGCGCCTTTGGTAGGTGAGGTGCACTATATTTGTATAGAAAAGATAAATAAATAAATAAATGTTATTGAATAAGTCTAAATAAAGGAATTCTGAGAAAAGGTGAAAAGATCATGTGATCAAAAGCCAGGGTCCTTCAAATTGAATTGGGGGATATGGGATTTCTCTCTAGAATGTCTATCACAAAGTCTCATGATGCTTTACAAAATAAGGTGCAAGAAGCAGCCTAGAAAACACAGCATAGACGGACGCCTTTTGTAGGTCTTTGAGCCTCGTAGAACTAAGGCGCAAGCTCTCGCAGCTCACTGTGCGCTTTTAAAACTATATAGCTAACAGTTCCTTGTTTCAGGAGAAGCAAAGTTTGAAATTTCCACCAATCTACATCTCCCTGCAGGATGTAAACCATGGCTAGAGCTGTGTTTCTACTACATTTAGCCATAAAAAAATTTATTCTCACTTGCATGACCTTCTTTATTTATGTGTATAAGGAGTGAAAAGGTGTTACCGTGTTAGGTAAATCCAGAACTTATTTACAATAAATATTAAAACTAATATTTGATCACCGCCATAATTCAACTTAAACAGACAGAGAGATCAACAACTTTAATGTCTTCAAAGGAATGCCAATAGTCTCGTGACATCAAAAGAAGAGAAAACACTCACAAGATACTGCTCAAGCGCTTCCCACTGATTTCTCTTTGTAAGTACCGATTGAGAGCCCACATTAAATGGTTCTTCCATCATCAATTCATCCTTTGTATATGTTAATAACAGCCCAGGTGATCTACATTCATGAGTAAAGTATAGTTATACAAAATAGTAACTAATAAAGCAAGAAGACTTGGAAAGAACAAAAATATACAGGGTAAGATATCTTGTTTTGAAGTACTGATATTCTTTTTAAAAAACAATTTAAAATTATAAAAAAAAAAAAAAAAAAAAAAAAAAAAAAAAAAAAAAGGTTAACGATGCAAACATGAGAGACATCTTACCCAACCATTGGAGAACTGGCTTTATTTGGGCAGCATTTCAGGGCCATAGCAGAGAAGACTCTTTCAAGTTCCCTGAACCAGTGCAAAGAAAGCATAAAGACCTAATCAGAAAGAACAGCCCCACCAAAAAAGGCCAAACAATATTTGAGAGAATCAGGAGAAGATATACCTCTTCAATCCAGAATCCTTCCAAAACCGTGTCACTATTGTGAATGCCATATCATACAAATTTGACTCAACTAAAAGGTCCATGAGATCTGATGGATATTTTTCATTTCCTGGATAAAAAATTAATATTGTAATTATTACCTCATGTAAAATATATATATATATATATATATATATATATATATATATATATATATATATATATATATAGGGTTGGGATCCGGTGAGAAGTATAAATACATCAAGAGTACACTATAGATACACTAAAGGTATGTCATAGATACATCAATAATACATTATATATACATCAATAATAGCATATTCTGGATACTTTGTAAATACATTATGGATACATCAAAAATACATTATATGCAGATACATTGAATCTATATAATAGATACATATTATAGGTACATTAAAAGTAAATTATAAATACATTAAAAAAAATCAATAGAAAGTGGCAAGGCAGAGCTTGGGCGACAATGGAGGAGAGGTAGTACATGCATGTACTGTAGTCATCAAAATTGAGCACCGATTAACACTATTTCATCATGGACGAAGAATCACCACCAAAAAATCAACGATAATTAATTAATACACTGAGCAAGCGATGATATTATTCACATGCCGTGCGATAGTTGAATCTTAATCATAAACCTTTCGATCGAACTCCATAGAATGGATAAAAAAATATTCCAAATTCGTCTTCGTATTCATGTCAATATATAGGAACAAAAATCAAACGAATTTACAAATTAATTTTTTTTGAGCTACTGTGATAGAAATATGAAGGATCTAGAGTGATAGAGATGGAGTATGAACTAGAGGAGAGAATTAGGAACTGGAGAGAGAAATTGGTCTGATGGATAGCGTGTATATTTTAATCCTAAAAAAAAAAGAAAAAAAAAAAAACTTAAACTTCCTACAATCATGACCGTAGATATCTATATTTAAGGGTTGAGATTACTTCTCACCCTTCTCACCTTAAGAGAGCTTCTCACGTGAGCCTAAGTCTATATATATATATATATATCAAAGAAAGCACATTAAATTTGCAACGAAATGCAAGGATAACACAAACACAAGAAAGACACAAATAGAACAAAATTTGAAATTTTATTTGCAAGAAATCATACGCCATCCAAATCATCAATTAGCACTGTTAAAATTCAGGAGTAGTCCCTCTGTAAAAGAGATAATGACTCAGGGGGAAAATGACCAAGTTTTACCAAAGATCATAAAAAATGTGTCATACGCCTAAAATATAGGTCAACATTTGCTGATAAAAAAATCATATATTGGCTAAGTGAAAATTGGCAGTTGTAATATTTGTCCCTCCTTAACAATTACAGTATAAGCCACCTTTAAGATATCTTCAAGGATCAAGTTAAAGTTAATTTTGACTCTTACACCTGCCGACTCTAGATTTTTAATTAATATCAGTTCCATTCAGTAATAATCAGTAGCTTTTACGAAAAAAAAATGAAGAAGCTTCAGTGAAAATCTGGTGAAGGAAACAGGGCCCAAATTTAGGAAGAGGTTATTAAGAATTATGGGGAAATAGTGTCTGCATCAAGAAGCCTTGTGTTAATAATTTAATGAAATTATATGCATGCACAACTTCACCATTAATTTTCTGAACAGGCCCCTTTGTGTTATAGACTGATTTTCTGATTGTAAATATTGTGTGAATACTAAGGATTAATAAAGATGAAGACTAGATAATTTGATTGAAAATAGTTGAAAGCGTACAAAGGTAGTAGGTTTAGCCTACAACTCTCCTATTAGCAACTTGAGGTTGCCACACTCCATGATCAATAACCCAATTCATGCCTAACTACTACTAGACTACTGCCATTTTATATATACACAAGCCAAAAGCTACAACATTAACCTAGCATTAATGACCCTTGACTTCTACTGCTGCAAATAAATTCAGAGACCCGTTTCATGCCACACCTCCCCTTAGTGCTTCCTTAATGAATTTTGTCTCTTAGTGTTGCTCCTTGTACCGTGTCCATTACACTTTGCCTTTACTAATGTAATATTCTCTTGTACATTTATTTAATGTAGTTAATTTAAAAAGAAAAGAATCAATTTCTTGAATCATCATAATAAAAGACATGAAATGAACAGAGTAAAGTGGCTTTTTGATCAGCCAATTTCCTTCCACACCTGAGGTTTAGGGTATAAGGGCTCCCCCCCCCCCCCCCCAAAGATAAGACTAAGTGTAGACCTATAATACTAAATAAAAAAAATAAAAAAAAGGAAACCTCCTTGGTGATAAAGATTCTCCCCAAACATCTCAATCCCCTGATTCCAAAAATTGTAAAATTCCCCTTCCCCAGCTCTCTGCTTCTAAGCAAATTGCTCAATCAGATTTACGAAAACAGACTTCACAAGTTTGCAGCAACCTAACGAACTACAGATGTATATGAAAGTAAAGACACGAATAAGTTAGAATAAGGTTACAAACATAATCATTTGATCAGAAACTGCATGGATATAAACCTACCCCTACCCTGGTAAGATAGGTTACAGAGGACATGGACATACAGACAAGCACAGATTTTCACACCAGCACACAGATTTCAGAGATAAACAACAAGGCTCTTACTAGTATGCGTCCATTTAACATTTGCAAGGGAAAGCAAATATTCTGCAGATGTCACCACAAACTCGTCTTCAAGTTTTTCAATACTAATATACAACTCCTGTCTTTGAGCTGAGTCATCAACACCACCTGCTATATCAAAGTGAAAGAAGTAAATATCGCCATTTTACTACACTTCCATAATAGTCAAAATGAATTACATTCATAATAAACCCCAACCTTTCCAAAGTAATAGTCCTAGTTCACTTTCCACTAAAAATAAGAAAAGTTAAAACCAGAAACAGGAAAGGAACAGAACTATGCATCACAGAGTAGAAGGTCCATTAAAAAACATCAACAAGACAAAGAAATTAGAAAAAAATTGAAATTAGGAGAGATAAAACAAAATGTAAGATCAACATTAGACTAATAAGACATTATTTAATATGTGAGCCAGTGGCTAAGAATTATAGATCAGAAGGGAAAATGTGAAGGTTACGTTGTTCTTCCATAGTTCTAGCCTTTTTAGTTGGATGAGACACACTGTGCAAATGACATCCACCCATCCGAGAGTCAATCCAGGCATACATAGGGTGAACAAGGTGAAGGCAATTGATAGCAGCAGAAATTCCGTTCAGCCTTTCTTGAAGAGCAAGAGAAGTATTCTGGTGACTTCTCAGAGTTAGTTCATTTTTCAACTGAACTGAATACATATATATGTATGTTGCTGCTTTTCGCCAATTTTGTTGATGCATCTCAAAGGCATACAGTAATTTGTAAGGGTTTGGCCTTGCTGAAATATCTGAACATGCTGCCTGCATAAATGATAAAATTTACAGTCAAAGACATGCCATAAACCAGTTTTAAGATCTCAAAGTTCTGACATTCTGCAGTATAATAATACCTTCCAAGCTAACTCCTGCTCAGCCTTGTCATTTAATCCAATAAAGGGAAGATGGCTGTCACAAAGAATCTGCAAAAACATTCACGTACACATCAAATTTCTTTCTATTTGATGAAAGTAAGTGGCCTCAATTATAATAAGCTAGAATCACACATTATATACAGGCATAGAGATACTGATAAATGCCAAAGGATAATTAACTTGGAAATTGTCTGCCTTAAAAGCGAAAGCAAATTAATAAATGTGGATCTGACTGCTATTTTAATTGCTACAAGCTCACAGTCTACATGATAGAATTAAATTATAAAAATAAATTAAACTGTTATTCGAGGAAAAACTGTAAAGTAGATAAACAATTATTCATGACCAAAAAAAAAAAAAGAAAAAATCAACTCGACACAACCAATATTTAGACTACCAACCTTTGTTGCACCACGTTCATAAAGAACTATTATGAACCGCCTTAAGCAAATAAATCTGTTCTCATCATCTGGATTTGAAACTAGTGCACAATATGCATCATAGTATTGATCAAGGTCCAAGGCAAACTTGAAAACATTTGCCCAGAGCCTCCCCTTAATAGAAGTTGTTGATTCGTCAGAGAAAGAGAGCTTAGAAGTATTACCATCAGTTTCAACAGCTTCATCCACCTGCTCAAGGGCGGCCAAAGCAAACTGAGAAGCAACATCACTGATGGTATATTGCTCAAATTTCTGCATAACCCATTGATAATAATGAAGCTTCCATGCAGCAGCAGAGGCAAATTTGGCTGTATTTAAGAAAATGCATTGATGATCAGCAAAAAAAAATAAAAGATCCATCACTAAGGCTGAAAAGAATCTTAATTACATACAAAATTCCAAATGTGATAGTCCAGCCTCAGCTGACAATTTCTGCAGTGCTTGGGCAGCCCCTTCTCCAGATGAAGCCCTGAAAGTAGAGCAGCATCAGCAAATGTCTATCAGACGATGGATAATGAGGTCTTACCAAAAAACTTCATCCTTCAAAGTGCCAAATATTGTCTTTTATATATATAGGGATCCGGTGAGAATAGGTCCCTATGTGAGAACACTACATATATATGAGAACAAATCTAGGCCATATGATCAAACAATATCAACGGCTCACATCAAACGTGCCCCATTAATGGCAAGACTGTAAAAAGTAAAACTTTGTCCTTTTATTAGGACACCAGATATACTATCCTCTTGTTCAATGCCGAGAGATTAAACGTTAATAAAAAATCAACACTTTCTCTCTCCTCTGGTTTTATACAGGCACAAATTTCTCCCAAATTTGTTCAAAATTTGGTAGAGAACTAGAGATCTACTACCTTCTCACTAATTTCTTCACAAATTCTTCATATAATCTTCTATGTTTCTAATTTTTGGTAAAAAAAAAGTTCAATTACAACATATAAAACCAAGGTTTTTGAAGTTTGCAAACATGATCAACTAACTTCAATGATAATCAATGAGCTTCAATGATAATCAATGAACAATTCGAATTTATAGTTATTAATTTTGGATTTTCCGGCAATTATTTTTTCAAAGATGTTCTTCATTTTTAATTTTCTTTTTGAACATTAATAATTGATATGATTTCAAAAATTGTAGTGATTGAAATATGTAGTATATTTTTTTTTGCTCAAATGAATGTGTGTAAATTTGCTAATCTAATTTAAGATTTTGAACATGTGACAAAGATTTAGAATGAGTTAAAATTTAGAACTTGTGAGTAAATATTTAAATAATTTAAAATTAAAAACATATGATTGAAAATTCAGAATATAAGAGTAAAAATTCAGAAACACGTGGTTAAAAATTAACACTCATATGAGTAAAAAATTTCGAATGTATGAATAAATATTTAGGGCATATGAGTACAAATTTTGAACATTTGAGTAAACAATTCAGAACACCGGAGTAACAATTTTGAACACATGAGTAACAATTTAGAACATATGAAAAAAAAAAAAAAAAAAAAAAAAAAAAAAAAAAAAAAGAGGGTATCAATTTAGAACATATGAGTAAAAATTTAAAACATTTGAGTAAACAGCTTAAAATATATGAGTAAAACTTTAAAACATATGAGTAACAATTTAGAGCATGAGTAAACCATTTAAAACATATGAGTAAAATTTTAGAGCACATGGATAAAAATTTAGACAAATGAGGGGTTCTCGCATATGGGTTCTCACAAGGGCCCTCCCCCTCCCCCCCCCCCCCACACACACACACACACGCACACACAGTCATAGTCACAGTCACAGTCACAATCACACATCCCACTTTCAACAAAATTATTGTCTAGGAACCTCAAATAGAGACAAATAACAACATGGCATACACACATACAAGCAAGTCTATTGTCTCCAAATTTGAAGTTATTTTTTTATAAAAAGCTAACAAAAAACTTCACCTTCTTCAGAAGATTGAATGGCAATAGTAAGTTAAGGTAGGGAAAAATGAGTTTCAAAGAAATTTCCCAAGTTTTTAGGAGTCATAAGAATAGCCACTTAACTATAAATCCAAAAAAACCTTCCCAATCCCACTCAACTGATGGAAAAAACAATAATGAATATAGAAAAATACAGGTAAAACTCATATACTTAATAATATCTTACCTAAAGAAGCATCTCATGGCTTCACTAACTTTTTTCTCCTTTGAAGGTCCACATGGTACCCTTTGAGCCTGAGCAAGAAGTGAACATCCTCGAAGATGATGAAGTACACACCACTGACCATCACTATTTTGAATGCTTCCAGACAACTTCTCATTCCTCAAATGTGCGTCCACAATCTTAAGCAAATTCTATTACCAGGAGGATGCAGGTAATGATTGGATTTAGCCAAATAATTAAAAAAGACTGCCTGACTATAATGAACAAATAACAAAAAAAAAATATGAACCTGAACAGCATTATACTGGCCATGTCTCAGTAGGCTAAGAGCAATCTCAGTTGAATGCCCAAAAATATATAAAGGAGGTTCACTAGACATGCCCCAAACTAGCCAACCACTGAAATGTTTAACTAAATTAATGAAGCTGCCTGGATTAGGAAGACAACTTAAAGACTGATAACTCCACCCTTCGGATGAACCCTGTCCATCCAATACCAGAATAAAAGCCAAGGTGAAGTCAATTGAACCAAGCTTTGCAATCCATGATCCTTTACCATTATCACTATCTGTAAAGAAATAAACAAAAGGACCCAGAATTAATAAAAATAACATTATGAAATAGTATACGAAATCCTCCACTAAACCCCAACAAGTATACATGGTTGTACAAATCTTCTTCAGACAGCACCATATAGTTAATAATTTAATATCCATCATCTGTTAACATCATACATGTCAGCATATATATGAACAGACAGTGCATCTCTAATTTTTATCCGCCGCAATGCCTCTACTTCCACATAAGAGCCAAAGCATTAAGATAGACAATGATGATCATAAAGCAATAAGCTGACAACATTATATAGGAAATACACCAAGGGGGTGTCACACGTATACAAAAGGAAAGCTATAGACAAATAAAGCCCATGCTCTTGACTCACAATCTTTAGAAAAGCAATCTATCTACAGCATAAATATATAAAACACTGATAAGGAAATACCGGACTCCAGATATACAAAATTCTCAAAATTTAAATTTGAAGCCTAGACAAGAAAGAAACTACAACCTTAAAAACACTAAACAATTAAACTCTTTCTTTTGCAGTAGGCCTCCAAATAGCCAACAGAATTACAGAACCATCTTCCATGCTTTAACAAGCCAACTTTCAATCTCCTTAAATTTCCAGACAGCAAATTCATCCTTCACAGGAAGTTGCAAAAGCCATAAGCCATACCAAAAGTAAGAGCCACTCTTGCCAATTTTCCACGCTACTAAAACATCTAATCATTACTCTCCAAAAGACCTCAAGACCAATTTATCTTCCAATTCATTTGGAAGTCTCAAAAAGGTATCATTCTAACACTCCTGGTTACCATTCCATGATAAAACTTCAAAGAGCTCCATAAATAAACAAAATCTAAATCTGCTCCTCTGTCCTCCATTTTCCCCTTCCCACATCTCGCCCTTCCTCAAAGTCTCAAATTCTCCTCCTTCCACTTTTTCCCTTCCTACGCCAAGACATTCACCATGCTCATTGTAAAGAGCTCAATACCACTAACCCCGCAGCTATTACAAACAACAAACATCCCCTTCCTCCACCTAAGAAGGAAGATCACTGCAACTTCAGAAAAAGATGAGCAAACATCACCAGTCATCGAAATATTTGAAACGGTATTTGGTTGTTAAATGTAGGGGAATTTCTTCAGGTTTCTTTTCGTCACCACATGGCAGTCGTTGGCAGAGAATCGGTCATATTTCAGAGATGATTTTTTCAGGAGACAGAAAGACACATGAACTTAAGGGCTGCTATGGTAGTGAGAGCCAGAGGGTAATGATGTCTGTGTTGGTGGTTTTTAATTTGAAGGGGGAGGGGGCAGTGGTTATGCTGTTGGCAATGGTGGGGATGGAGGTGGGGTGGTACTAAAGTGTAAATTAACCTTCTGTTATTTTTTAATTTGATTATAGGGGTGGGGGTGTGACAGAAGCATATCTACCCTCCCCCCCAAATACCTCGAGGGTTTTCAGAGCTGGACCCCACTGATTATTTGGGTTTATTTGTTTAAGTACTTATAAACCCACACCATCAACCAAACATACCTTGGCATACTATTTTACAAATTAAAAGACCGATGTAGTGATACACAGTAGTACAAAATTACCATACCTATATTTAACGATGATAATTGAGAGCTGAAATCTTCTGCTGAATGAGATTCTGATGGCATAGTAGCCAGAAAATGGATGATAAGCCACTCAGCTATTGTTTCATGAATCATAGGAATAAGTTCAAGCTGGATTCTAGAAATATCATCAGGTTTCATATGAACCTAAAAGAAGCACAATCAAGATTTATCAGAATACTTCAGAAGTTGCCAATAGAAGTTTCTTGTTCAAGATTTTTCCCCTCTTATTTGTTTTTTTTTTTTTGGGGGGGGGGGGGGATGACAAATCTAAGGCATAGTAAGCCATACAAAAACAAAGTTCCTCACATAAGCTAAAAGCTGAACAAGAGGAAGAAACTTTCAAACTCAGAAGATGAATCTTTTAACATTTTTATAAAACTTAAATGATTAAGCAGGAGTAATTTCTTTGTAACACATATAGTCATATTCCCTAAAAGACAGAAATTAGTTTTGCACATTTAATTCTCAAATAAGTGGCTTAACTCTAAAATAAGTGGCTATAGGCTGAATTTTCCAATCAATTGGTAATAATTTCTGTCAATCAAATAGAGATCTCGCTAAAGGCTAGAGGCTGATCCAATAACCCAAATACTAAGGAAAATCAGAACTCTAAAGATCATGTTTTGCACATTAAGAATTTAGCACAATGTAGCAAGCTTGCAACTTTTCATTGTATTAATTTCAAACCTTTTTACTTTTTTTGGTGAAAAATAACTCAAGGGTGGGGGAGAGGATGGAGGGGAGGCAATGTATAAAAAAGCTCAAGGCGCACTGAAGCGAGAGGGGTTCTGCTGCGCCTAGAGGCGCGCCTCAGTGCGCCTCTTTGAAGTGAGGCGCAGTATATGGGCAGTTAACAAATTTGGCTGAAGATTGATTCAAGTGCGCCTCAGGTGCGCCTCGTGCGCTTTTGGTGTGCCTCGGGAGCTTTTTGTGCGCCTAACCCAAAACACCTCCCCCAGACCAAATTAAGCGCTCACCCCTGGTCGCTTTGCGCCTCAGCGCCTTAGACACGCTTTTTCAAACATCGAGGGGAGGGCAGGTAGAACATCATTTTATGATAGGATAGTTAGCCAAATTGGTTGAAAAAATAACAACCTCCAACCAGACTGGTAAACAAAAATGCAACATATGACTTTTACACTTAAATTGCTTAGATTTAAGGTACTTTTGCCAATGCATGATTTCAAAATTCAAATGTTTATATCTTCAATTATCGACAAGAAAAAATAGTATCTAAAAAGTTTATATTTGGAAAATATAGAGTGAAACAAAATCTAACAAGAACCCACGAGACTATGTTTTTTCTTCAGTATAAATCATAAAAGGGAAGTCAAACTAACTTATGTGAATAGTGCCTAAAGTCAAAACATGTCAACTATTATAAATGAAGTAAGATGGTTGTGATCTGAAATTAACTGCTAATATTAATTCAAATAATGATAAAAACTTAGATTATTGCAGACAAAATTAAATCCAATCTATCTTACAAACAGATGGAAGTGCAATGGTATTAAGAATTTATATTCATGGCAGCCTGAGTCAAACAGCGCAGATTAACAACAATAACAAATGAACAATGATAATCTCGTTTCATAAGCAGAAACCTACACCTTAATTTACAGATCAAAAAATATATTTAATGATTAATAAATAAAAAGGTACAATACAGCACTTAAAAGACTGAGTCTCCGAAAAGAAAATATTATAAGTACACAAGTCATGTTCAAAATTTTGGCTGTACCAATACAGGTCTACCTCTTATTATGCAACTGAGATTTGGTCGCAAGATAGAGTTGAATTGTATCTCCTTATTTTCAATCATTTATAATGATGCAAACATATTGGAACAGAAGAGTACATAGGATGCATATTATAAAGCAACCCTATGAAACAATTTCATGAGTTACAACTCTTACAAGACTAGTATAATTATTAATGAAATAAAATTCATATGCATCAGATCATATAGGTATTTGTGATTGAACGAATGTAGTAATAAATATGTATAGCTTATTTTACCTGGGCACTGATGTCCAAAATATAGCTTAAAAATAAAAGCACATTCAATGCAGACTCGAACATCATTTCAGCAACTTGTGAGGTGGCCTGAATCATGATGGATATGTTGGCACTCAACATCATATCTGAATTCAGACTTTCTGTGGGCTTTCGAGGTACTAAAAGATTCAAATAGCTCTCAATGACATTCAATACGCCACCCCATCCATTGGCTTTCTTGCACAAACCGTGAATGGATATTAAAGTATCCATGGTGAATTTCCTCAAAGTTTTATGCTCCAAAAGTTCCTCTTTCCAAATAAAATCAGCTCCAAGATCCGATACTGATGCCACAACAGATGCGCTATAACCACATTTCACAGTACTCAGCAAGCGAGTCACTACATCCTCAGAAGAGGACATTGATTCGCCGACAACTGATTCATAAACAATAGGTGAGATGATTGGGCCTAATCTTCGGCCTATACGCCTAGAGCTGCGAAGCACTTCAAATAGTATCTCACGCTCGAGACCATAGTTAGACGAATCAACCCCAAACTTAGGAAAATCTTCGAGCTCTTCAAAAGTGCCTAGCAAAACAAAAACATTTAAAGTATACAAGAATGTAAGCAAAATGTTAGATAATGTAAAAATTGCACAGCAAATAATTTTAACAGATAATGCCAGGATAAATTAACTAGGAAATGAGGGCAGATACCAACCATATACAAGCAACTCAATATCCTCTAAGGAACGAAATAGAGATACAGTGTTTTCTCTTATCACTCCAACAGCTCCACTTATTGAATCAACAAGCAAATTGAACGGTGTATTGCTTTTGCACCATCGATCGAAGTACCGTAAACAAAATTCTTTCCAACATTTAAAGGCTGAAAATGAACTTCCATTGATGGCCTAGTACATAACAAAATTCATTAGAAAAACTACAACTTTGACCCCTCCAACCTCAGAAATAAATGAGATAGACAATGGTGAATACTTTCTCCAACTTAGTATTCCTTTTGAGAAATTAATTAATTAGACAAATAGTTAGTATAAGAACCTCATGTTCAATAAGCAACAGGATTTCCCTGCTCAATTCATCAATGGTCAATGCCTGAAATTCATAATCTGTCCAGCACTTGTCATAATCTTCTAATGTTAAACGCAAAACATTGCTACTATACACTCCTGGATGTAGCAGCCTGCGTAATATTATAGATGAAACAAATCCAATGATTTGTGTCTGCATATAATACCAAAAGGAAATCAGTGAACAGAAAATCGTTAAGCAAAAAAAAAAAAAAGGGAAAAAAAGCTCGAATTTGAAAATTGAAAACAAACTTGCTTTTCTAAATCCAATAGTTCACAAGCATTGCTGTGACTATATATATTACCAAATGCATTCACGATTCTAACATTTATCTAGCTGTCTTCCGCGGAGAATTACAATTTTTTTTTTGTCCTTTTGTTTAGGGATCTGGCACGAGGATGTAAAAATGGTTTACTCCGTATACAAAATCATCATTCTTTAGAAGTACAAAGTAGTTTCCACATACCTGCAACTTACAACAGTGTCCTAGAATTACATATATTGTAAGAAAAAACACTCTGAACTTTGACCATAAATCCACAGATATTAATACCAACCTGACTCCAGCTAGCATAGGTTCAATGTAAAATGTCAACGTGAGATAACACTTATTAAAACATGACTCTTAACAAAAGGCAACTAAAAATTCCTTCACGTAACACGACTTTGATAGTTCCACATAATCTTATTCCACATCATGTGTTAGCATGTTTAAGCTCTGTTTCAAAATATAATGTCTAACCTAATATTAACTTATGTGAGCTTAAATTACTCAATTACCCCATCCACTTATGACTAATAGTCCTATTTGGAATTTTAATAGATTCCAATTAAAATGAAATCTAATACTCTTGATAAATCTATGAGAATATGCAAGATCTTGTATTCATGTAAGATTTGACTCACCGTTTAAATTTACAATTTGGACTTGTTACAATTCTGTATAATGAGTATGTTAAATTATTACATTGGAAACTGTGCATAAAGTGAAACAAGAATATCTTTTAGAAACACAACGAATATCTTTAACTTACTTTCATGGTATAGTAAATTTTATATTCCCTGTAGCAAAACTTATACTTCCTACATTTCTATTTAGGTGACCTATAGCCCTTGGCATGATTTGTAAGGAAGAGGAGAGAGAGAGAGTGTAGTGGGTCTTAATTAGTCTCTGCTTAAAAAGTAATCAATTAATTAATCTACCAGTCCTCTAACAACCCCCACAAAGGCACAAATTGATACTTCACCATTATCCCACCTGCCAAACAGTCGGCCGACCACTCCCACCACCACTTTCTCCCTTGACCTCCTTTTCCACCGCCTCATTCTCCACCGTTGTTGATTATGAATCTTCATCTTCAACACCCATTTTGGCCTTCCACTTCATCTTCAACCCTCTTATCTTTTTACCTCTCTCTCATCCTTTTCCTCTAGATCTGAATTCTTTGATTCCCAAGTTCTCGCTCTTACTTCTTCATCTTTCTTTCTTTATCTCCGAAACACCAACATATGTGATTTTTGAAGGGTGAGAGTGGCAGTGGATTATAGATCTGGTGGAGGACATACATTGAAGAAAGAAAAGATTGCGTTAACTCATTGAGGGTGGTGGCGTTGGTTTTCAGATCAACACTAATTGGTTTTGCTAGGTAAGAGGTGAGGTTTTGGTGCAGAAGGTAGTGTTTTTGGTGAGGTAGCAAAGTTTCGGTGAGTGTGGTCGGTGGTGTATTGGTGGTTGTGGGTATGAGTTTGAGTTGACGATACAATTAGGATACGGGGTTAGGTGAATTAAGTGTAGGAGAAGAGTGATTATTAAAATTACATTGGTTGAATAAGGGCTAGTATGTACTTTTGTACTAAAAACATTCCATTTATAGTATAGGTCAAGTAATATGACATTTCCATTAAAGGAATTTTAGTCAAAAAAAAAAAAAAAAAAACCAAAAACCAGAGGAAGTATAGGAATGTGTTTAGACTTTAGAACTATAACATAGTGAGTGTGTCAAAACTTATATGCTCGAGTGTATCAAAACTTATTGTATTTGAAATAAGACAGTATAAATTTTAAGCTTCAACGTATAAATCTTTAGTTGTCCAAGTTTTCACCTAGGTTGCACGGAAACGGATACAGATACATGGACGGAAAACGGCAAAATCAAAATTCCAACAAACAGGTACGACATTGATATGGCAATAAAAATTAAGCTAAATTTAAATTCTTACAATGTTTCAAATAACAAAAAAAAAAATCAATACAATTGACACTACCACAAATGAGAAGAAAAACCATCTAATGTAATGTCTTAAACAACCCAAAATCACATAACTCACAACATAACAAAACATAACAACGTTAAAAAAATAATAAAAAATAATAATAAAAAAACCTAGAATAAAATCAGAGCTAAGAATCGAATCAAAAAGAAAAAAACCACAGACCTGTTTCTGCCGAAAGAAAAAAGAACAAAAAAAAAAAAAAAAAAAAAATCAATCAAAGCCTTAATCCCATAAGTGGGGTCGGCTAACATGAACCAAATTTGATTATTCCATGTAATCATCGACATAAATCTTCCTCCTCCATCCCTTACAATCCAATGCTTCATCCTCATGCAAATCCATACACTTCATATCCTTCCTAACTCCTTCCAACCAAGTCATTTTTGGTCTCCCACTCCCTCGTTTAACCCCTCCATGGTCCCACTCTTCGCACCGGTGCACCTTCGGGTCTCCGTCTTACATGCCCAAACCAATGCAGGCGATTTTCCCTTAGTTTACCTGCAATGTCAGCCACACCTACTTTCTTGCGAATAACCTCATTTCTGATTCTATCTCTTAAAGTGTTCCCACACATTCACCTTACCATGCGCATTTTTGTAACCTCCCTCTTTTTAATATGCTCCTTCTTAGAAGCCCAACATTCTATACTATAGAACAACACTGGTCTTATGGCAATCCCGTAGAATTTTCCCTTCAACTCTAAGGGAATGCTTCGGTCACATAATACTCTCGTGGCCGCTCTTCACTTAAACCACCCCGACTTAATCATGTGAGCCACGTCTTAATCAATGTTTCTTCTGGATGATTGACCCAAGATACTTAAAGCATTCACTCATGGTCCTTTTCATCCAAACTCACCACTTCATTGCTTGTCCCCCTCAGAGTACCAAAACGACATACCAAATATTCAGTCTTACTCCGACTTAGCTTAAACCCTCTAGATTCCAACCTTTGCCTCCATTGCTCCAACTTAACATTAACCCCATCCTTAGTTTCATCCACCAAAACGATATCATCTGCGAACAACATACACCATGGAACCTCATCTTGAATTGGTCTACTTACTTCATTTAGAACCATTGCAAAAAGAAAACGGCTTAATGCAGTTGATGCAATCCGATTGTAATAGGGAAATCTTTTGTCAACCCTCCACATGTCCTCACATTTGTTTACACATCCCGATACATATCCTTAACCAGGTCCACGTACCTTCGTGGGATACCTTTCTTCAACATTGCCCACCAAAGCACCTCCCTTGGCACCTTGTCATATGCCTTCTCCAAATCAATAAAAACCATATGAAGATCCTTCTTCTTTACCCTATAAAACTCCATCATTTGTCTTATCAAATGGATTGCTTCCATAGTAGATCTCCTACGCATAAAACCAAATTGGTTATCAGAAATGCTTGTGCATGCCCTCAACCTATGTTCAATAACCCTTTCCTACAGCTTCATAGACAATCTTAGACAATCTTGAGCGTCTCCTTTGTTTTTATAGACCGAGACCAAGGTGCTCTTCCTCCAATCTTGCAGGATCCTTGTAGTCGTCCATATCCTGTTGAAAAGGTTTGTTAACCAATCAATACCAATCTTACCCAAACACCTCCACACCTCTATCGGTACACCATCAGGGCCAACCGCCTTCTTAGGCTTCATCTTCTTCGGTGCAATCTCCACCTCTACTCTCCTAATCCTCCGCACATACTCCATGTTGATTTCTTCGTCACTCACGGAGGTATCTCCTGTCAAACTACATTACTTCCATTAAACAATTCATCAAAGTACCCCTTCCACGTGTCCTTGATGTCCTCCTCTTGTACTAGGTTCATTTGGTTCTTATCTTTGACACACTTCACCATGCCAATATCCTTCCTTGTCTCTAGTCTTCTCTTTGCCATCTTATAAATGATCTTTTCTCCCTCCTTGGAATCAAGCTTTTCATAAATCTCCTGATAAGCCTTTTCTTTTGCTTGGCGAGCAGCTGCCTTTGCCTTACTCTTAGCCTCTTTATACGCTGCAAAGGTTTCGTCACTTCTACATTTTCCAAAGGCTAGATAGCATTCCCTTTTTTGCTTAATCACTGATTTCACCTCTTCATTCCACCATGAAGTATCTCTTATTGAAGCTCTTCCCCTCGATTCCCCTAAGACCTCTTTGGCCACTTACACCACCTGCGTCCCTCTGCCCATACCCAAAGCCTCCATGGACACTCTCATAGCCATATCGGCTCGTCCCAACCTGCCCATGTTAATCACCTCCAATATATAATTTCTCTGAGTAGTGGACACCTTGTACCACCTCATCTAAATCCTCCCAAAAGTGTCGTTTCTCTTCTGCATCCAAACCAACTTGGGGAGCATAAGCACTAATAACATTTACAATCTCCTTGCCACATAGCAACTTCACCCTATCAACCTATCATTCTTCCAATAGACCTCGACTACCTCTTTCGACAACCTCTCATCGAGAATCACACCAACTCCGTTCCTAGCTCCACCAATCCTAGTCTTGTGGCTCGTTTCTTGTCCAACGTACCATACCTTATACCCCAAAATCAAGCCTCGAGCTCCTTCTCCTATCCACCTTGTCTCTTGGAGGCACATGATAATTACGCATCTTCTCTTCATCACTTCTACCACTTCTGCTGATTTCCCCGTAAGAGACCCCACATTCCAAGAACCAATCCGCAAACTAGAGTCCTATCTCCCACGCTCCCTCATAACACACTCACTCGTACCACGCTTCCTCATGTTCCCAACTACAAGCCCTTGATCATTTGACACCACACTTATCACTAGGCTAGCAACCCTTGCATACTTATCACTAGGCGACGACCTAGCAACCTTTGCATACTTATCACTGGGGAAGTGCAGCGCGTCGTTCAGTAGGGAACGCCCCAATGGCACGCCCTTGCTCATTTGACACCACACTCGGGTAATATGGCACGTCGCTTCTGGGCGACGACCTAGCAAACCTTGAATACTTATCACTACACCTGGGTCTAGGATGTGCAGCGCGTCGCTGAATAGGGAACGCCCCACGAAAATATCAGTTTGGCTCATGTCATGGGATGTGACAAAGTTTTACACTTGCTATCACTGGCCTACCGAAACCCTCCAACGGCAGAAACCAAATGAAAAAAGAAAAAAGCTAATCACAAGTCAAAACACCAGCAAGAACCAAATGAAAAAAGAAAAAAAAAATTAAATTAAAATAAGAGCAAACATTTTATCTCTAGCAGCAAGATTAAAGTACAGAAAAAGAGAAAAGAGAGAGATTAAAAGTTCGCTGGTGCTGATTTGGTTCGCTGGTCACCGGTGGTCAGGTGCTTGCTTGTCTTCAAGGAATCGTGAGAGAGAAGTTATATCTAGGGTTCATTGATTTCCAACAGGTAAGTAATTGGGTTTTGTTTATTTATAAAAAAATGGGCTGGTCTCAAATGGGGCCTTCGTATCCGAGACGTCTGAACCTGAGCCGTACCCAAAAACGGATGTCGTCCCCATTTTCATGGATACACCCAGGGGACATACCTGGGACGTACCCGTACCGTACTCGTCCCTGGTATGGGATACGGCTCAAAGATGGAGTACCCGTGCTTCCTTGGTTTTCACATTGACTTCATAATTTGGCATTAAGTTGCTAGAATAAGGCTTTGGCTTTGAACAAAAAGGATATTAGGCAATATATTTTTTACCATCTCTCATTTTCAATCTTAATTAATAATTTACTAGCACCTTTTTTTTTTTTTTTTTTTTTTTTTGTTAAACTAAAAGTCACTATGTCAACTTGATTTTTAGTTAGTTTGCAACCTACTTTGGTGATTAGGCAATATTTTACCAGGTTAAGGTTTTTCATCAATATATATATATATTAGATGGCCAAATTAAATACATGTGCCAAAAATTGGCAAAGTGAATAGGAATGAACAAAGAGTCAAATGGGAACTAACAAAGACCAGCACAAAATAGTTGATATATGATATAGCATCCATAATATAATGTAAACTATGTAATACCTTTGACGATGAAAAGATTGAGCAAGTGGTTTGGTAAAGATCGTCTAGAGAACGCTCACAACTCTGGAACAATTGCTCTGCAATGAAAGCTTCCTGCAGGGAGTAACATTGTCCTTTTTCCCTGCCAGAAGACATACATATAATAGAATGTAATGTTAATGAGATCTATTAACGCATCTCATAGTAGTTGTCACCCCTCCAGAACACCTAAGTTAACCTTAACAAATCAAAGGTTCAGGGCTACAGTACACATCAAATCATGGGAATTTCCCCATTTAAAGTGAAATTAATTACTTTAAGATTACTACCAATCCTTTTGGAGCTTTTGGGTGTGCATTCTGCAGATACTATAAATGCTCCATCCCATACTAAATATGTATCACTTTAAGGTTTTGCACATGAACTAAGGAGGCAGATGAAGTGTAAATATAGCACCTTAGTTTAGTATTACTGGAAAGATAAAATTTTGAGAGAATGAGTAGGGGAGAAAAAACATGCAGCATCAACATCACCTCAATGCCTGCATACGTGAGTAAGAGATAGATTTACATTTACTGGGTAAATTATAAATGTAGCAATCAGTCTTACTTTGTTTTCACATTATTGATGAACAAAAGTTCAAGGAGTGCATGCCAGCTAATTTAGGTTAGCAATTTGAGTAAAAAAAAAATTAGCTACCATTGATCACTGACAGATAAGTGATCATAATAACTTTATTCTCACATTCTCAAATGTAAACTACAATTTTACATTAGAGCACCTATTGATTATAATGAGATTTAAATTTGAGTGTTCCATTTATTATATGTTCTAATCTATGCTGCTGCAACATAAATCAGAAGCAATACATAAATTCCACTCCAAAAAATTGTCATATGTGTGTGTGTGTGTGTGTGTGTGTGTGTATATATATATATATATAACAGCTTCAGCCATTTCCCTATTTTACGGTACTTCTCTAATTTGATAATTCAAAGTCATGCATGAAAGGGAAGAGAGGGCAGTTTGCAGTTATCAAGCATACATGAACAAGGACATAGCTATAAGAAATCAGAAATGAAGGATGAAGGAAAGAAATTTAAAGAACAAGTTATCTCAGATAAATTGAGAAATATACTCAAGTACAACTTACGTATCAACATTTAGAGAAACAAAGTCATGTTGCAGCAGTGCATCTTCCATTAGAACCCATATCTTGCTCAGTGAAAATTTTACATCAAACACCTTCCCCTAAACATGATAAAGGTTTCATTAGACAAAGAGAGCATTTCATTAAAGAAACCTGAAAAGAAAGAAATCTTATAGCCAGAAGATACCAATAATTTTCTTTGGGGAAAGGAAAGGGATAAGTAAAAAAGCAACAAATTAGAAAGGCACTAAGGACATGCAGCCCTTTACATAAGGAGGACCAAGAACAGCACAAGATATTAAAACTTTCAAGAAACTCAAAGATCAGCACTAGATTGATATTCCTTAAGTCAAGAAAAGATGATATTTATTACCTGAGCAAAAGGGATATACTGCATCGATGAACCAATGGACAAAATGTACTTTTCTCCAGGGGAAAAATTGAGATTACAGATACCAAGTCCCTGTGTGTTCACTCCCTTCACAGTAGAGATGCCAATATATTATAAGAAAGTAACCAAATGTATGGAGTAAACTGTACTCCCTCCGTCCCATAATATAGTTCCTATTTTCCTATTTTGGAAATCCAAAATAGTGTTCTTGTTTCTATTTTTGAATAGTATGTAAAGACCATTATACCCTCACTTTTTTAACTTTATTTATTGTACTTTCTAATTTACCATTGAATTTTGCACATGCCATGTACTTTTTTCCACTTATAGAAGACATAGGAAAACTCATTATCCTCCTCAAAAAAAAAAAAAGGGAAAATTAACAATCTACTATTATGGCTTGACATGATTAAACCACATACCATGGAGTGTGTGTACATGATTGCCAGAGGAATTGCATTTGCATCAACATCTACAGGTCCAACCCATAGCCGAGAGAAAACAGTTCCTGTAAACACCACAAACTATGATAGCATGCCACAACAATACAAAAAACCTACTGCAGTCCTCACTAACACTATCACCTGAAATAAAAGATTTGGGGAGGGGGGGGGGGGGTTGGGGTGGTGGTGTATACTCTACATGATAGAAATAATTCTTGGGTAATAATAACACCTAACTAAAAAGAATAATATACATGGACACAATGTAGCTTTTCTGCTAAGGAGAAAACAGATTATTGCAAGTGTTGATCAACCAATGGCAGTTGTCAAATTGATGAATTACACCTAACCTAAGATTATTTTTAGATGTCTACTGCAGTCTTGGCGTGATATTCAACGTGAACATCAACCTTTGACAATTCGTCTATTAAGATGATACCTTTCAAGGAGACTGTGTCGCCTTAGTGGTGAATTTTGGACTGGTAGTCAAAAGCAATTATAGATGATATTATGTACAACACTAATATTAAAAGGAGGTGTCAATATAAATATTATTTGCATGATAGCAGCACATATTCCTTTCAAGAGCCTTAAAGATCAAACTCTCTGAACTTCTTTGTCAGGCTACATTAAGGTTTACAGGCCTACAACTCTGACTTCTGTAACTCAAGATGCGAGTATGAGAGGTCTAGGCAAAATGTGGAACAAAATATCAGCTGTGACATCGGCTCTCAAAGAAGATACAGGCAAAGATTGCTGGTTGATTAAAGGAAAATTGCGGAAATGCAATCTCTACCAGATAATAAAGCACCTACTCATTGGTAATAGAATACGCATTTTGGACTGGAAGGGGATACCTAGACGCAAAGTGATTAAATATGTAACAAAGAATTATTTTTGATCACCCTATTTGAGTGTATTAAAATGTAGTTGGGAAGGTGTGTCATAAAGAAGATAGCTTTTGTGGGGATACAGTATCAAAGCAGGTCTATTATTTAGGAAGCAGAGAGCATCATATTTTGTAATCCACCAAAGAGCTTGCTAGTTTTGATTAATCAGTCACCTAGAAACACATCCATACGTAAGATTTTCTACATACAAAAGTTTAGCAAAACAACATGACGAAGAATCCTTTATCTGTTCATGGCAGATCACCCTAGTGTGCAACTTTGTGAATTTCTAGGTTGTTGGCTTCACATCAAATCAATCATAGATATTAGCCAGGGACACAGTATTCGCTTGAAAGGAAGGAAAGGGGCAAAACTATCAAAGAGGGGTGGCAAACACACAAATGAAAGATAGTGTCACAAATTTAGTACTTAACTGCTTATTTTGTAATGTACTTGGAGCAAAATGTTTCACTATACGCTAGTCATCATTTAGAACCTTAATGATAGCAAGATAATAGAATAAAAATAACGGAGTAACCAGCTGTTTTTTTTTTTTTTTGTCCATGATTCTGTAATATTATATGACCCCCTTAGGGTGCTCCACTTATTATCTTTTACTACTTGCATTGTCAAGAGAGGGTGGCATTCACGTAAGGTCTTACTCCCTTTGTATAGAATAACTATACATGTTCGACTTTTGAGTTTACAAATCATGAGCTTCTATAATATGTTTTTTCTTAACCAAACAACAAAAAATTAGAAAGGCACTAAAAAATCTCTGATTGAGATGTACGACATATCTAACTAAAACATAAATCTAAATTTTTTTGAAGCAATAATGACCGAACTTAGAATCTTGGCCATATGAAGTCAAATGTGAAAAATTGAGGAGGAAAAAGTCAGTTACACTTGGTTAATTTTTAAAGTGCTATGATTTATACTTAAAAGCACATTAGCATGATAAAGATCTTAAACACCAAAGAGATCAATGGGACTAATTTATCAGAGTTCATTAACATAAATAAAATAAAAGTTCAGCTATTGAATACATATATATCAGCCGTTTTGCTCCTAATGTTTTACAAAAGCATCAAAAGCAAAATACCACGATGTAAACAACAAAAGCCTCAGAAGTTGGGAGAAAATTACTCTACCCACTATCAACTTTGACACATATTTCTCTCCAGCCATAACGATTCCATACATAATGTGTAAATTACAGAGATCACAAGTAACCATCACTTAATATTTATGACAGATTTAGTAATTTTTTTCACAACTCAATATTCTTCCTAAATTCAAAGGAGAAACCATTAGGAAGGAGGGGGGCCGTTGTTCATATTACAAAATTATAAAATTTAAAAGCATACCTGGACTACTTAAAGATTGACTAAAAAGCTTGCTATGACGGAGAAGATCCCAAACTTGTAGACTTCCATCAGAATGGAGCACAAACACAACCTTTCTGCCATGAATATCTGAGACCACCAAATCCTTCACAGACCCAGCTAATCTGCTTCTGCAACATCATTCAGAAAAGCCACATGAATTTCATTTTTCACAGTCCATACAAGCCATAGAAGGAAAATCTAACATAACTATCATTGGATCATCGTTAAGGATTTTACTATTAGGCTTAGGGGGGTAGCTTGAATAGTAATTCTTAGGTACTCAATCAGTTCGATAGTGCAACGTTCAATAATAATCAGATGAGTAGAATATGCAGAAAGATAACCTGGACATTAGACCCCACAAGCGACTTAAAGCTGCCTCATCACGCAACTCATACATGAAACCTGGGAATTAAAACATGCACATTATGAGTGGGTAAAAAAGAAGATTTTATGTTTGACAAAGTTGTATCAAAACATAGCATGGAATAAAAAAGGACATCTACCTGGAGCATTTTCATCAAGTACACCAAGTTTGAAACAAATGACTGAACCATCATCTCTCCCAATAATAAAACAACCGATTGTAGCAGTGGCAGAAGTTATGGGTGAGCAATCAGGGGAGACATTTGTATCAAAGTGTAGAATCTCATTGGATGAGAAAATAAAAGAAGCAGCATAAGCAGAGACACTTTTGAGTTGGAGAGAGTAAGCAATGCCCGAGACAGATAACACATACAGAAGATAAACATTGCCATAAGCCGAATTTATCTGTTCACATGCATATGAAAAACCAATCAGCAACATTTACCTTACAAATACAAGAACTTCTAAGCATTTTTTTGGTACATACTATCACAAACGCACAGTTGGACACATAAAATCAGTAAAAAAGAAAGTGATGAACCTCATTCTCGCAAATATAAGCAAACGGGGACAATGCCTCAGGGAACAAGATGCGCAACCCAGCCCTTGGGATGTCTTTATCAGCATTAAGCTCTAATATTTCAATAGCATGTGGCAATCTCCGACACATACGCCTAACCAAAAGTGTGAACACATGTTAAGAAGCACGCAAAATTCAATGTCATTCATCCATGTAAAGTCAACTAATATTATCATTCCAAACCCCACCTGACTGGCATTGAAACTCTGAACATATGTTGCTTTTGATGTCACAATTAAAAACCCCTTATTCTACCAGATAAGGAATACTTGTAAGAACATGTTATTTAAAGCTGCCAATTTAGTAAATTTTAATCTTTAACAGTCTCACTTTCAGTAATTGCTCGTCACAGCTATGCACATGTTCTTATAATATTTGCACTAAAATACTTTGTCTTTTTTAATTGCAAACTTTACTCTATGCACATACACTACTTTGATCATCTTTTTTGATTCATACATTTGGAAAAATATATTCATGTGGAATGTGGGATCTTGTTTGATTCGTAATGTATACTTTCCAAATATTAGCTTTTTATACTTTTTACTAAAATATATGGACATTAATGGTACATTATGTGCATTGGCAATCGGGAAATCTTCATTGCAATAAAAAAAAGAACGGAGGAAGTATTAGATTAGAATAACTTGATTATGGTGAAACACGATCACTTGGTTATATGAACCACAATGCCAATAACTTAAGATGTTAGTACACATGGGAAAAAATGAGCATGAAAAAAGACTTGTAATAACAACTAGAACCACCATGTTTGTAACATGTAACAAATAGATACTAGCACATCAAATTGGTAGCAGAAGAATATGTTAAATAACACTTGCCTACAACGAACTTGCACAAACTAGAGGAATATTAAATAACAATGAAGAGGGGATAGAGACAATACCAAACGAGGTAAGTTGGAGGACTCCCAATAACAGAACATGAAGCACAATCTTCGGTAGGTGGAGCAATAGACCGAGAACTCGAAGAAGAAGCATGACAATCGGGGACAGACGCCTCAACCCACTTGATTGAATCACTGTTAATAAAAGGAACCTCCATTCCAACTTTCGAATAGGCTCGTCCCTGAGCCATTTTAGCAAAATCCTGCAACATATTAGCTACCAAATTCAACTTAATCATCAAATTAGGCTCCAAAATTCACACAAAATTCTTCTTGCTTAAGAGTATTAACAAATTTGCTCGTTATAATGCTTCAATATTCATAAACGATAGTTCAATAATCCACCTTAGAACCCTAAATTGACTATACTGGCAATTAAATAATGATAAACCCTACATTGTGAAAGAGAAAAATAAGAAAGAATATATCTTACCTCAGAAGCTGCTTCAATGGAGGAGAGAATGCTCAGAAGCCGCTTCAATGGAGGTCTGGGAATACGCTTCAATGGAGGAGTGACAGAGAGTGAGGTGCAGCGGAATAAAAGTAAAAAAGCTCCAAAGGGCCAAAAATATGAAATTTGTGAGAATGTGGAAATTGGCGGAAAATCGCCTAATTGTGTACTCCCTCCTCCACCGAAGGCGGTATTACTTTTGGGTGATTGGATCGAGTTCGGCCGAGTAAAGTCGGGTTGAGGGGGTGTTTGATATGGGTTTTTTTATAGGGGTGTGGAAACGGAATTAAGTTACCGTTTTCGTTAAAATGTGTTTGGTTAAGGAGTAAAGTAACAAATACCGTTTCTTGGTGGTAACCCATTCCACCACTTTGTTTCCGGTAAAAAAAAAATTGGGGAAACAATTCACGTTACTTTCCTCTAACCCAAAAAACACAACTTTACCCTTTTTCTCTCTCCTCTCAATCCATAATTCTCCAAAAAATTCTCAACTTTGATAGATCAAATCTTCAGATTTTGCTCAAGATGATCAATTTTCCTACCTCAAATTTCCAGAAATCAACAATCTTAACCATTATAGGTTTGTTATCTATCAAAATTTTGTTAAAGAAACCCTAGAGTTTTGAATTTGTGTTGAATTTTGGGTTGAATTTGTATGTTTTTCAGTTTGATTGTTTGTATTTTGACGATTTCTATTTGATCTAAGTTTTTGATCTATTTGTTGTTTGCTATTTTCGATCTATTTGTTGATTGCTATTTTCATCCATGGTGTTGGTGCATTTTGGTTTGAGTTTACTATTATTTTTGATCTACACTGCTTCTTTATAGAAATTAGGGTTTTTTTAGGGCCAAATTTAGTTAATTAGTTAGGGTATTTTGTAGCGTAGTCTATGGTTGAGCAGCAAACCTAAACCACCATACTCGACGCCATACCAACTACCATCATCATCATTAGAATGTTAATTTTGAGGTTTCTGATGATTACGAGCTTGAATTAGGACTTGGATTAAGTCTTGGCTCGAAGAATTCCTTCTGTTAAGAATTCTGCTTCTATTAACAGTGACAATGCTTCTCCTGGTAATAAGCAGACTGCTGTGTTTATTTGCTGGATATTTTGTGTTTTTCCTCCAATTTTTTTCCCATGATTTTGGTGGGGTAATCGTTTACGTTTCCTTAGTGATACCAAATAACTAGTAAGGGTAACACTAAATAATACCCTTTTCCTCCCTAATTTGTTTCCATTCCGTTACCTTTATTAATTATATACCAAACGCCCCCTGAATTTAATTCAACTTTGACTCAACCCCGTACTAAATCGAGGGCTTCAAAACGTGAAAACGGAAGGTTGTGAGCCATTTAACAGAAATGTCTCGTAGGGGTAATATAGTCATTTTAGGTGTCATTTAGCTGTAATTTTAGAGACATCTAATTGGGCTGTTAAATAATACCACTAAAGTTTTAGTGGCTCAAAATACACTCTCAATGGTACTTAAAAAAATTCCAAATATACTCTCAGTGGTATCCCCATGATTCTTTGTCTGTTTTACACGTGAATGTATGTCTGATTAGTATTAGTGGGGTCCACACCACCTTTTTCACTCTTTTTATCTCTCTTCCTTGTACCTTTATAATATTTTAATAGTTGTTAGACAAGGATTGTTTGTCTAACAACCCTCCATTTACACTTCCTCGTACTAAATCATTATGGTCATACGAATTGAAATTTAGATCGGATAACTTTCAAGTTAGGTTGAGTAACCTTTTGATACCTCTACAACTCTATAAGAGTGTATGAGATTGACAGATGAAATTTTAATCAAGGGACATTTTGGTAATATTTGTGAAAAGAGAAGGGTTATAAGGTAAATTTTGAGCATGAATTTACTTAACACTAATTGCTCATTGTTAGGTCCCGTTCACTTCACCTTATTTTTGTTGAACTGAAATTGTTTTTACTGAATTGAAATTAGTTTTGCTGAAATTAAATTATTTTTACTGAATTGAAATTAATTTTACTGAACTGGAATTATTTTTACAGATGTTTTATTATATTTCTTCTTTAAAGATACTGAATTTTACTGAACCGAACTTAATTTTACTGAACTGAAATTATTTTTACTAAACAGAACTTATTTTTACTGAACTGAAATTATTTTTACTAAACTGAAATTATTTTTTTAAGGTGAAGTGAACAGGACCTTAGCTCAGTTACGTCATTTCATTATTGGAAACTCCCAATAAATAAACACAACATACAACTCACTAAATAATAAGAAGCAAGCTAGGTTAAAAAAAAACACACACAAAAAAAAAAAAAAAAAAAAAGCAAGTTAGGTTCAAAAGCGATGATTTTTTTTTTTTGAAAACATCCAAAAGCGATGAAGTTGAATTCCTTCAAATTGTAATTAATGTCATCTTCGCACGATATTATTTCCTTCAAAAATTTATGAATTTTGGCACCATTAGTTTAACACTACTTATGTCCCGTTCACTTCACCTTATTTTTGCTGAACTGAAATTAATTTTACAAAACTGAAATTATTTTTGCTGAAGTTAAATAATTTTTATTAAAATTAAATTAAATTTGCTGAACTAAAATTATTTTTACTGATTCTCTATTATATTTCTTCTTTAGAGTTAATGATTTTTACTGAACTGAATTAATTTTACTGAGTTGAAATTAATTTTACTGAACTAAACTTAGTTTTACTAAACTGAAATTATTTTTTAAGGTGAACTGAACAGGGCCTTAGTTGAATTCTTTCAAAGGTTAGTTGTGTTGAAGTTTTTTATATGTGCGTATGTTAGATATGGCTTCCTATAGTAAATTTTGAAGGGTAAGTTAATATATAAATGACTATTAGTATTTTAAAATGGATATATTGTTTTTTGGTTTTGAATTTCCAAGAGGTATTGTTGACATGTGTTGAAGTAATAGAGTGTTAAATTTGGATAGTTGGAGAAGAAGCTCACTCTTAATTATTATATGTGAAGGAGTTGAACGTTGCACGACAGTGGTTGGTCATAAATCCTCCACAACAAAGCCGATATTCCCTTAATTGAGCCTCTTGCATTGTAAATTACCGATTTGTATTTAAATTAATGTGTTTGGTATATTTTGTGGGTAATCTTTAATTTGTGATTTACATGGTCGAAATTTTATTGTATTTTGTGTTTGGTCTATTTTTTTAAAATAAATATTGTTTTTTACCAACAAGTCAAATATTATACCTTATTCTAGAGTATTAAGGGATTGCCCTATTGTTACTGGTTTCAAGTTTGATAAATTTGCTAACATAACACAACAAAACAATAAACAAGTTATCCTTAAAGAAGTGTAGACAAGTTAGATCGCTAAAGAAACGAGCAGATAGACATATGACAAAAGATGCAAATACTTTCTACTAATTGAGAGATAAAGGAAAGGCTACAATTGTAACAAGTTGAAGGAAAGGTAACCTCCATGTTCATACAATAGAAAGAAACGATAAATTTTTAATACATGCTAAAGAAACTACGTATCGCTTAGCTACTAAGCAAAGGGAGAACTAAGAAAGTTGTAAAGAAAGTTTAAAGAAAATGAAATGCTTTGTGTTGATTGATTGCTAATCTCGAATTCCTAGAACTCTTCTTCTATTTATAGGCAAATGGCTTATAGTTTTTCTCCCACTTACTTCCATAACTGCTAATCAATTATTGCTCTTGGCACTAGTTTACTTTGAATTCAAACATCCTTAACTGCTCAAACCGGCCTTGTTTTATCAATCTCTTGGGCTTCTCCTTTGGGCCTTGACACTAAGTTTTACATTCTCCATCACTGGACCACATTACTCCAATAAAATAACTTTATTTCAGAGTCAATCTTTATTGGTCAAACACTATAGTCAACGAAAGTTAAGAAATTCTAAATTTGGGTGTAACATCTACATAAAGAGCTGCCAATGAATATTAGGAAAAACTCATAAATCCCATTCAATTCATACCTCCCTAATATGTTGCATAGGTTTTGTAATACCCCGTATTTTTATACGTAATTTAATTTAAATCATTATTTTATGTAGCATTTAAACAATTTTAAATGAATTATTTATGGTATTTTATTAATTTAAAAAGATTTATTTTAATTAAAGGTCCATTTTTATTTATTTAATTGCTTTGAAAATATTTAATTTATTATTTAGAAACTTTAGGGCATATTATTTTATAAAAGGAAATTTTAAAGTCAATGGTATTTAAAGAAAGTCAAATGATTAGTTTGAATAGGAGAAGGGATCATTAAGGGTAGAAAGGGAATTTAAGAATATGAGGGTTTTGAGAGTGTGTATAAATAACCATCTTATGAGCAAGTTAGATCTTGTCCAAGGTAGAGAATACCCAAATGTAAACACTCTCTCTCTCTCCTCTTATTTTCTCTCCCTTAATTTTCCCCTTCCCCTTTATTTTAACACACCAACACGCACACGCAAGGTGGCCGGTTGCCACCACCACCTCCCACCGGCCGGCCACAGCCTCCAGCAGCCGCCGGCGTGGAGGGCGGTAGACGCCCCCTCCCCGTTGTGTGGCTGTGCGACTTTAAAAAAAATCTTTTTATTTTAATCCTAATCTATCCTTGATTTAATTATTAGTTTTGGGTGTTGTGATGATTTTTATGATGTTTGATTATGAATATTATGTATATAAATTTCAGATTTGGTTTTTGAATTTAAAAGCCCCAAATTGAAAACCCTAGGTTTTTAAATTAATGTATATTGATGGAAATTAATTGTAGTTTGTTGGAATTATTGAAATAGGTGTTTTTAAACATAATTACAACAATTTTACATGTTTTTATAAAGCTGGAATATTTATATAAAGGTTAGTATTATGTTTCTTGAAAGGATTTTTAATTACCCATTAATTGGGAATAAAAGTAGGGGTTTTAAATTAATTTTCAGCTTGTTTTAGAGGGTTTATAAGTGATTTAAAGAGTGTATATATTGTTGGAAATTTATATTGAATAGGTATTAATATCTCTTTGTAATTTGGGGTTATTATAGGAGATTTCCAAGTGAGTGATTTCGTGTAGTCGTGGCGATCTTGAGATTATATTCGAGGTACGTTCGCATACTCAGTATTTATTTAAGTGCATAGAAGTATGCTAGGCCTTGTTTAATTAATACCAAGGTAGTATCATGATAGGTATTGGTTAGGATTGTTGATTGGATTAATGTTGGTGATTGATTTGTGAAGTATGAATTATTTGTGATGAATTGATGATTGGAATTAATTATGTTGGCATGTTGAATATGAACCACACTTTTACTATTGGCATGTTTGAGAGTATGTTTTAGTAAACTAAATGTTTAATTTAGTTTGGAATGTAAAAAGGGAATTTTGTTATGGTTCATATAATTTGTATTGATGCTTTAAGCATGGGAATTGAGCTATTAAGTGTCTTAGTACACAGGAATAAAATGTGTTACGG